GGGATGGAAAAGATAAGAATTGGAATTTACACATTCCTAAAATAAATCGATGGGAGAATGAAGACGAAAAAAAATTTAAAATAGAAACTATTGAAGAGAAAGGAGAGACGAAAATAAAGAATTTAAGTGATTTACAAATCGCGACCCGTTTATGTAGAGGAGGTAATTTATTTTATATATTAATAAATAGTATATAATATAGTACAGCACTAACAAAAATACTTCTGTAGGTCTTGAGGGTGACACTAGATCTTTAATTGTCGCTTATTTACTTGAATACTACGCGGAAAACTTACTCAAACACAAACACATCGGTTGGTTATCTACTGTTTCGGAAGCGTTGCCAGATTTTTATAGATATAATTTAAGTTTGTATCTTTTTATTTTTATTTTCTTTTCATTAATTTGTATTATTGTTTTTTAATATATATATATATATTTTCTTTAAATAGCAAGTTATGCTAAAGGATTATTTTTTAAAAGATGTATCTCAGGTATTAAGATATCTAAAATGATAGAATATGAAGATATCATACCCAAAGAAATTGAAGTTATTGTAAAAGCATCACAAGAATTTATAGCATTTAATCCAAACACAAAACTTATTTCAACGAAAGACGAAACACAAAAATCAATTAGTTTACGTTTTAAAGAACTTAACGTGAAAATATTCTCAAATACAGAGAATCTTTCTCCAACGGTAAAAATAATCCCATTACGTAATTTTACAGTCCGCAAGAGAGAAAAACTGAAACATAAGGCATTTTTATTAAAAGTCTTTCAATATGTATTCATTCCTCGGAGATATTTAAGTGATATAAAACTTAGTAGTCCACTTGTTCAGATTGTTAGAAACGAAAAAAATGAGGATGATATATTTGATAATCCAACAATGGCAGCTGCAATTAATTATAAGTGGGGTCCAACAAGAAATTATTTCCTTGGAAATTTTTTTAGATATATTTTATTTGCAGCTTGTTTTGCAGCTTTGGTAGGATGTTATTTAGGTCATGTTGAAGCAACTGGGCATTTATATAACCTTTTGGTTTTCCTTTTTATTCTATTTTATTATTCTGGTGTTTACTTATTCTTGGTAGAATGTATACAGCTTCGACATCATAGTTGGAGATATTATCTAGATTTCTTTAATTTTGTAGATTTAGCTTCAGTTGTTATATCGTTAGTTTTAGTATCAGTTTATGTTACTCCTAGCTTTAGATTATCAAATGCATTTGCTGATGTTGTAGCTACATCAAATATAACTGCTGGTCTCTCTTTTACAATGTTGTTGCTTTGGTTTGATTTCGTAAGTATTCATGAATTAATATCTTTACTTTTTAATCATTTTGACTAAAAAATTTTTTTTTTTTTTAATAAAATTAGATCCTACATCTTCGATTGTTTTTAGGTAAATAACGATATATTCATAAGTCGGTTTTATTGTCAAAATTAATAATCTCATTTAATCATAATTATTATTTTTAAGAACCTGCGTTATATATTTACATTATAGTAAATATTATAAAAAAGACATATTTATTTGTCGTTTTCATGTTATTGGTTGTCCTTGCGTTCTCCCACGTGTTTTTACTCTTATTACAACATACAGATTTTTCGGATCTTGATGATATCACGTCCAAAAAGTCAAGCTATACTATACAAAATAGCGCGGGTGATGTGATCGGAACATCTCTACAAGATTTTGATCGAAAACAAGATAACCCAAGTAAAGATTTTGGTACATCATTTCTTTCAACATATGCTTGGTTACGTGGTTCTTTTCCACAAGAAGCTATCTGGGATTTTTGGGCAGTTGAAGCATTAACTTTAATTGGTAGTTTAGTCTTGATAACTGTCATACAAAATATGTTTATCGCCTTTTTAAGGTAAGTTAATTAGTTCTTTTTTTTTACATTAATAATATTTTTTTTTTTTTTAATTAATATTTTATCTCTAAAACAAAAAAAAAATCTCAGTTCTGCACATGCTGAAGCATTTGAAAAGGGACGCGCTGCATTATTATATTATCGTGCCAAACTTATATCAGATTATGAAATGATAGATGAAATATATTTTTCTCCTCCACCTTCAGATCCAAAATATATTTATTATTTAGATGAATTAAAAAGTTATGATACATGGGAGAAATTAGTTAAAACTTATGAAAATAAATTATATGATGGTTTAGAAAAGATTATGGATGAAACTGAATTATCATTTAAAGAGAAAAATAATGAGAATTCATTTTTAAATTATAATAAACCTGATTATGATGATGATAATTCAAGTAATGAAGAAAGTACGGGTGATGATTATTGATTCACCTAATAATAAAATTGATAAAATTTTATAAAATAATGTAGACACTAGTATAGTATTATAAGTATTATAGTATTTTTTCCTTTCTTTTAAATATATACAGTATAGTATGTTTGTGTTTTTTATTAATTGTAACTTACAGTTATCATAAAAAATAAAAAAAATGGGATCAGAATTTCAAAAAAGCTTTTAGAAGTTATCAGAGGCCAGATCTGATTTTTTATATTTAAAGTGAAAAGTAATGGTAAAATTCGTTACCATAAAAGACAATTTGACTTAACTTCGAACAATGACCCATATTCACTGAATGCAATTCAGCAAATGACAAAATGAATTTTATATTTTCCTTGAGACAGACCTTAGAGAAAAACGATTATCGTAAAAAAAAGAAAAACTTTAAAAAATCAAATAAAATTATCAAACTTTTTTTGTTTTTTATTTACTTAATAATTATCTGTTATTTATTTTTTCTCAAAAATCATGCAGTATTTTTTTTTTCTTTCTTGTCAATATACTACAGTAGCACATTTAATTTAATTTTATACGTAGCATCAAATAATCTAACCAATATTATGTCACTCGTAACTTCTAATGAAAATTTTATTTATTTATTTTATGTGAAGCCGGACAGACTATTAAACAGGACATATACCACACGTGAGTTATCCTACTTCTAGCTATCATCCATCACCAGGGCGGACCCGAACTTCTTTAAAAACGTTGGAACCAGCCTGATCCTCCTCCACTACCGAAAGAAGAACAGGAACTAATGAAAATTTTAATTGACCCCAGAAAGGGGTCGTCTAAAGCCATGTTCGATCATGTGACTTGACATTTTATAAATAAGCCATTTTTTTATGAACTAAGATTAATGTAAGTATAAAAGTTATAGAATAAGTGTTTTTTGGCCTGCTTTACAAGTTTACTTAGTGAAAAAAAGCTGGTTTTAAACACTGTTTTTGACTTTACATATGAATGAATAATCTTTGCCGATCATATCCAAAAATGGATGACGAAAATGAAAAAATTCAAATAAGTCAAAAACGGTGTTCAAAACCCCATGTTGCGCACTAAGTAAACTTGCACAGCAGCACATACTATGTGTAACTTGAAAGTTTTATGTATTGGCGAAAAAGTTTTATTTGTAAAAAATAAATTTTACAAGTCACGTGATCGAACACGGCTTTAGACGACCCCCCAGAAAACAGTACTATTCGGTACACCAAGACTGTTATAATAAAGCTTTAAATGCAACAATCGTATTAAACCACTATTTATATCGTAAAGTCCACCAAAGTAGAAACTCCCTTCCTGTTCTTTAAGCGGTGAGGCTTCGGCCTGCTTGTCAAGAAGAATTAAAAGGGTTCTAAGCGATAAACATATAATGGGTACTAAGTATAACGTTCATATCAGCTGACCAGAAAAGCCTCCCATAATTTTATATGCTAATGACAATAAGCAACCCATAAGTTATATAATGAACCCATCAACTGAGTTTAAATATTAATTGGCTTGATTTTCTAATCAGCCGATGCGAGAATGAAGATAATTTTATATGTTGTTAATTTAGGTGAAGTTAACATTTGTTAACTTTCCATTTTTAATCTAAGTATTTTCTCTCTTCCTGTTTTCTCTTTTTGTAAAAATAAAGTTTTCTTGGAATATTCAAAAAAATTTTTAAGATGAAATAGGAATCACTTTTTTTGATCTTAATTTTTTTTCTTTTGTGAAGATGAAATTGTCTTGAAAAATTCACAATAATAAAAAAATGGAAACTGTTTTCTATTTTTCATAAAATCAAAGTTGTTGATATTCAGTTTTTTTATTTAATATTTAATTATAGTTACTAATAAATATAATTATGATAGATGATTCTCATCTATCTAATTAAAAAAAATACATTTCCGGTTAATTAGGATTTTTTTTTATTCTAATAAATTAATATTAACAAAAAAAAGTATATTAATTGCGGTTATTACCACTCTCTTAGTTACCACAACTAACCATTTCTATTAGATAGACAATAATAATTTTTAATCTTTTTTATTAATTTTTTGGATCGGAATTTATCAAAGTTTTTGAGTTTTTGGTTAACCCAAAAGAATATTATTATTCTTTTTTAGTTTAGATCGGATCAAAACTATAATCAATGTCCTACAAATTTTTTGATGTTTGATGAGATTTTTTTAGTCAATAATATTGTTTCTGACTAATAAATTCGTGTAAAAATTTTTTTTAGTATCAACAAATTTTTTTTTAGTTTAATTATATAGATACATAACAATATTTTTTTGTTTATTATTTTTTTTCGATGTACATAGTGAGAACTTTTTTGTTTATTGAGATTAATTTTTTCAATATTATTTCCTGACTAATAAATTCACATAAAAATATTTTTTTTGATAAGATTGTTTTTAATGATATAGATACATAACAATATTTACCTGCATATTATTTTATTTAAATTAATTTATATTTTATTACTCTCATAATCTAATTATTAATCAAAGTGAGCTTCTAATTGTGACTAAAAATTTAATATTATATAGTAATACTACTACTCCCGGTGCGAAGCGGCAACTGCTAGTTTTTTTAAAAGAAAATTTCAATTGAAACTCATAATATATTTGATTTTCTTTAATAAAATAAAAGAAAAATTTTTGCAGCAAAAGAACTTTTTCTAAAATAAATTGTCATACTATTATAAGCATTTTTCATTTTATAAAGATCTAACGTGGAATTTGGGAATGATCCAAATACACCTTCACAAATGAAAACATGTTCATGTTAACTATGAAGTGTACCCATCAAAAAACGTCACAAAAAGCACGTGACCTTTCATTGCCAGATTTGAAATAGTCTTATCGTGACAATTCCCATTTTTACAAAAAAAAAAATTTTGTGGCAACGCATCATTCTATTGGTCTTGTTTCCTCACTCATCCTGGCAATGTAAAGACATGCAACATTGTCCAAGGATGCTTTTTATTATGGTGGCCTTGAACTGACCATCTCCATTATTAATACCCTTCTAAATAAAACGATTGGCCCATCAGAAATCAAAAAAATTTCATTTTTATAAACATACATTTTTCTTTTTTTAAAAAAAACAAATAACTTACATTGTATTGTTGCTTATCATTTTTCCACCGATTGGAACACTGTTTCTGTGAATAAATATAGCCATTGACGAGCATCCAATCAGAGGCACCACCCCAGAGTGAATCTTTTACGTTGCTATGAGGGTTACTTAGTTGTCGAATTTTTTTTTTGTTTCGTTCCAAATATTTTAGTAAGCAAATATTTGCTTCGTAACCCCAGTTACATCGTCCCGTGTTCTTTTCCGGCTCAGGAATTCTTTCTAATAGAAAGATATCGCTCTAAATAAAAATCAGAGATCAAAAAAAAGTTTCATTTTATATTTCTTTTCATTTTTTTTTAAAAAAAAGAAAAAAAATAACTTACCGTGTAGTGCTGCTTATTGTTTTTCCACCTATTGTAACACTGTGTCTCTGAATAATTAAAGCCAAAGTTGGACATCCACTCAGAGGCACCATACCATAGTCCCTCTTTTACACTACTATGAGGGTTATTCAGTTTTAATATTTTATCTTTATTTTGTTTTAGATATGATAATAGACACGTGTCCGCTTCGTTATCCCAACAGCATCGGTTTGGTTTGCTTTCAAAAGTTTCAGAAGATAATTTTCGTTTTAGACTTTTGTTTCCAGATGCTACAGGTGCTGTACCTTCACTCGAAAAAGACATTTGTTGCGGTCCCTCGTATGGACTGCTCCAAATTAGCTCTTGTGTTACGTTTTCATGCATTAAGACTTCACC